CGCACCAGCGCATCAGGAGGCAGTGGTACGCCACATTCGAGAGTAAGCGACGGATGATTTGCGCAACAGCAGTTGTACACCTGTCAAGTTTCCCGTTTCGACCGAGCTGTCTCGCCGCGTTTCGACTCTGCCTGAATGGTTATCCGCATGTTTGTGCGTATGTGATGCAACCGTTAAGGTCCGGAGGCAAGTGAGGGACGAGACGTCTATGCCGGTGCAGACCGCAGGATCAGAGACCAGGGGAAGGAGGGGGAGAACCGGAAAGGACTTTGTGCTGAGCTGCTGAAAAGAGTAAGCAGTAGTATATTTGCCTTGTCTTCTCTTCAGACTTGTGCTGGCGCATTTTTGCCCCCGCATCCCCCACGTTTTCACATCCTTTCAATGGATTTGCAGGGCCTTTGCTCCCGCGGTAGCCATTGTCCTTTCGTCAGCTCCCATTCTGCCATGATCGCATCTGGTGCAATCGTCTCTGTTGAGTCACCACCATATGCAAACGTACATGCTGGCAAGGCGTCATACATGCCACCATCTGTAGAAGTTTTTCTCAACAATTCACAGACCATGATACCCCACCACAACACAATTAGCTCGCATAGCTCATATGAACATGCCCCTCAGTGGGGATGAGAAGGCCGCAGTCAGGTTACTGTACAAACAAGGATCTGTAATAACTCTGTGACTGTGAGAAGGTACTTATGTCCATGCCACACTGAATTGCAGGTAGTTGATTGGATGAAACCAATGTGCTCCAGTAAAAGAACTTATTACCAAATCCCAATATCACCTTGCACTTGGCCCTACGTACTGGTGGCCACTTATCACGAGTATGTGCTATGCAACTGCACTACTAGATAGCCGTGTGTAACCGCTCCTTCTAGCACTTCCCCCAACTGATGGTGTGTATGCATCTGGAACCACCAACACTTCTGATTCGTTCTGCAGTTCCTTGTGCTCCTGAGATCCTCGCCCTGCAGCTGAGCTTCCTCTCCCAGCATGAGCAGCAGCAGCAGCAGCAGCAGAAGCCATAGCGGAGGCTGCTGCAACTGCTGCTGCAGCTGCAGCAACAAAAGATGGACGTCCCCCAGGCAACGAAGGAGAGAGCGGCGAGGGTGGGTTTGATGCTGAAGGTGGAATAAGTGGGGTAGTGTAGGACGCAATAGTTGCAGCTGCAGCTGCGGCATCCGCAGCAGACGTGCGAATGGGTAAGCTTGAGATCCGCTTAGGTGAACTTCTCCTGTAAAGCATGTAAAGCAATACTTGTACAGCAGACAACAGCAGACCGAGGAAGTTCGGCGCCTGCAACCAAATAAATGAAAGACAGCAGAGGCATCAGCTGACTTGCCAAAACAATAAATCAGGGAAGAGGACAAGAGGGACATGCTTACCGCCACAAATATGTCAGAGGTTGACGCTCCATAAGCCGTCCACACAATTGTATGGACAAGCGACACAGCACAGAGCTGGATAGGGAAGAACTCGACACTCCGTGTCTGAATCATTTGTGCCTGCAGTGGGGTAAGGGTCCATGTTCACACAGCAATATTTAGAAGGAAACTTACTGTAATGGTGAAATGACTGAGAAAAAAGCGGCTCATTTACCACGGCCGTCAAGGGAGCAGCAAAGGAAGCAGTGCTGGTGCAGTCCCCAGAAAGGCCAAAGAGCAATGGTCTAACAGGTGCTGGTATGACTGACACAGCCAGTGATGCCATCATGACCGCACATAGCACAATGCTCGTGATAGCTGCACCAATAAATCTCTGCACATGCAACGAACAGAAGCAGTTAGTAAACAAGATGAATAAGGCTGTATGAACACGAAAAAACAAGGGCGCCAATACGACACATACAAGAGTCGGGCCCAGAGACATTACCTTGTGTTCTGTGGAGAAGAGATAGAAGATCAAACAGTACGATCCGTTGAACAGCAAACCCAGGATGCTTATGACAAACACACTGAATGCATTGGCCACCGCTGGGGATCCGTAAATGGTCCAGACGAACGAGCTGAGCAGGCCACATAAATAAGGAGCACTTGAGTGTTTGTCTGCAGATCGCTTCTTGAAGATGTCAATGAAAGTTGGCCTGAAACCATGGAATCGTCAATACACATGATCAGACAACAAAATGACTTCTTAATGCCAATAAAAACGAGTACTTGCTTACAATGGTGCAATATACAGAGAGAGACCCGTGATAGTTCCTGCAAGGCGAGGAAGAGAAAGCAAGGTTAAAATTGGCCACATCGAGTAACGAGGGATGAACAGACTCAATATCCGTCAGGCAATTAAAGGGAAACTTACCTGCGATACCCAGCAGCGATTGAAAAGAGGGGGAATAGAACACGTCTGCAAATCCTGTACTTGAAGAACCTAGAGTCACCGAAGGCAGCGAGGCCATAGCTGCTGCGATAAAAGCTCCAACGTTCAATGAACTAAGTGACTGGTAGCACTCAACAGCAAGAACAACTACGATTCCGACAGTCAAAAATAATAATGGTCGGAAATTTAGTCTCGCAGAGGCCAAACGCTTGTGTAGATCGGTAGCTGGCTGCTTTCCCTGATCGCTTTTGCCGCTAACATGGAGTGGGAGACGGGGTTGGATGAGACTGTTTGCAGCCTCCAAGAGACCAACTTTCCCGTAATCCCCTAGAGACTGAAGTGGGATTTCCAACAAGCAGGGTAAATACTGCACAAGAGAAAGCGATGGTGGCTTCACTGAACTGCCTGGTGTTGCTGGTAACACTGAAGGTCCGACAGAACAAGGCGCTTTGACGGAGCCTTCAACGGAGCCAGGCGATCTCGAGGGATACGCGTAGGGCTGGTTGACGGCGCTTTCGCCACCTGAAACCGCTAAGCCAGCGGACACAGTGGTCCCTGCCACGCGTTCGGAGCTTGATGAACCTCTTTGAAGGACCCGTGGAGCCGCTGCTGCAGACGGAGCCCCGCTGCGCTGGGGGCAAAGCTGGTTCCGGTCGCGCATCGTTGCGTTCTGCGTCAGCTGCCCTGATTGGGATCGATCTGACCAGGCACAAGAGATTCCCGAGGCTGGCTTCGCTTTCCTTGGTGACGGGGCATGCAGGCTGCTAAGCGGCAAAGGAGGGAATTTCCCTGCGTAATTAGACTGCGGGTGGACGGGCCAAAGTCGAACTCTGTCACTGACTGTGGATGTCAGACGTGGACGGGCCAGATTCCGTTTGAGTTCTGGTAGTCGAATTTCGGCGGCGGCAAAACCGATGGAGGCTGGTTGAGCTGAGAGCGATGACCTGGCCCCCCCAACAGTTCGTGGTGCTGAGGGGTGGGTGGTTGTGATGATCCGAACCCTTCTATAGCTGCTCTCCACTTGCCGGACAAGCAAAACATGCCGATCAAATCATACATAAAAATGGTTGCCAAAAGTGGAAGGTATTCAGTTGATATTTCATTGTCAAACATGACTACAAAACGCATAATTTAATAAAAAACATCTATAAATTTGTATAATAAACTAAGAACAGTAAAAATGTCATTTTTGCGAGGCTGTGCTTATGGGCATAACCGAAGTTGTTTCCAACTAGCATAATCTCTATCAATCACTAAAAGCCCCGCTATGGTATTTCTTTATCCTCGCCAAATCCATAAGCACTGGATTGTTTGTGCTGAGAATGTCCATGCTAGGTGGACACGTGGCTGGTGGCCCGATTGGGCGCATTTGCGGAGGTCCATCGCCCCGCAAAACCCTCCCACCTCCCTTCCAGTTTGGCGTCGTTTTCCAGACCCGCAAGACGTTCCAAACCAACGAAAGGTACGCATCAAACTCACAAGGGCACAGTTTCAGACGCTTTCATGTTTCACTTCTTGAAACAAAATGCTCACTTCAGTTTCAGGAAAGGGCGAGGGCAGAGTTCAAATGTTCCAAAGTCTGGAGCGTGATTGCTTTCGTGTCTCCTTTCCTAGTTCCCCTCCAAGCAGTTTTCCTGGTGCCAGCCCGCGTGGGGAAGCGGGCTACACTACACACAGGCTTGAAATGCTGCCCTGGTTTCTACACATTTTGCTAGGGCGCCGCATGTGACCCAAGAAGAGGAATCCTTTGGGGGCAGCGATCAGTCGACCATTGGTTCGCGTTACCAGACCAGACCAGAACCATTCGGATTCCCGTAAGCGATTGCAAGCGGAAAAGTGCTGCTGCCGTCAACGTTTACGTCTGATACCGTGGATTCTCCGCATGCGCCTTGGAGTTTGCATGGTTTGTGGAGGGATGGGATCATGGGATGATCAGACATGACGTGACGAGGGGCATTCTTGTTGGTGCCCTGCTCTTTCCCCATTGGTCAACCCTCATCGCCTCCACCCTTCGCTTTTGGTTCTCTGCGCCAGACTCTGCCTGTTCATATCATCTCTTCTCGCTTCTGTCGTCACCCTTCCTCTGAACAAGGAATTCCTTGATTTTGTTGCTAACGCTACAGACCAACGCAACGCAACGCAACACACTCAACCTTGAGCGATCTGCACGTCACAGCGACAGTGAATCACTACGGCGGTTAGGTATTGCGCCACTATATTCTCGTGTTTCTATGACCAGCATTCGAACGGCAAATCCACTCAAATAATATTTCTTGTCCTATCAATTAACCGTGATCCGGCCAAGTCCTCCGTTCGCTCGCTATCCAGCGGGCGTAATCATGCACGCAGCAGAACGCGAACTGGCCTCTTTTCCCTCAAAAGCCGCATCAGAATCAGTACCTAAAGCTATACCCTGGACAGACGACGCTGGAAATCCTCCTTGTGACGATCGTAACCATAGTCTTCGTTCAACTTCGCCGGCTTCTCCGCCTCGTCCTGCTCCTCCAACGCTTCCTTCCTCCGCATCGCAGTCGCTTTCTCCCCTTAACCGGCCTCCGCAGCTCTCTCCGTCCAAGCAACAACACTCCGTTCGGGGCCTGCAAGCTTCGCCGGTTCGGCAGATGTCTCCTCTACCACCGATGCATCTTACACAAGGGGTACGTCCAGTGGCCGAACCGCAGCCGCAGCCGCAATCACTGGCACAGGCACAACCGCAGGCGGAGTCGCGGGCGCAGGCGCAGTCGCAACCATCGCAGTACCGATCACCGCAGAAGGCCGCGCCGCAAGCTGCGGAGACGCAGACCGCGCACAGCGCCGAGGATCATATTGCTGCGCAACCCGCGAGTTCCGCCAAGCGCCAACTGCTGCAGCAGCAACATCAGCAATCCTTGCCGATTGTGACTCCATCCGTGCCGTCGTCCCATCACATGCCGCCGCCGCCGTCGTCGATGCAGCACCGCCCGTCCCTGCCGCACCATCTCCCTCCGCTCCCCGTTCCCCAATGGCGCTCAGGGCCCGCGGGAAAGCCCATGCCCTCCTCGTCACTTTGGCCGCCACACGCTCCCGCCGGCTCCTTCCCTCAACCTTTTGTTCCTAGAGATTACATCCACTCTGCACTTCCGTTGCCGCACAGCTACCCTCCCCCAGACTGGGTTGCTGGCGGAGGTAACGACGCAATAGAGCGCGGGAGCGGGGGAGGCGGGCGCAGGTTCAAGCGGCGGTCGTCGCGGCAGTCGGGTCCGCCCGTTCCGCACCCGCTCGGGCTGGACTACGGAGGCCCGCCCCCGCGCGGGTCCAGAATGCGGCGGCCGGATAAGCAGGCGCAGGGGCAGGGGCAGGCGCAGGCGCGTCAGCCACGTCAGCCGCGACAGGCGGGGCAGCTCCGGCAGCAGCAGCAGCACAAGAAGATTTGGAAACGGCGGCGTGCGCCCGGTCCGGGTTTCGCTTCAGCCGCTGCGGCAGCGGCGGCGGAAGTCAACGGTTCGGCGGCGCCGCTGGCGCCGCTGTCGCTGCCGTCTCCGGGAGACGCGGAGGGGATGTTGGAGGACGGGGAGTTCCGGCCGCCGCGTCTGCAGGAGCTGAAGCAGCGCAACCGCGTCGGAACGCGGAGGTTCTTTTCTAAGTTTAGGCGCCGATATCCTCCGTCGTCTCAGCAACAACAACAGCAGCAGCAGCAGCAGCAGAAGCCCCATCAAATGCTTTCTTCTCCGAACCCCCTTTTCGCTATGCCCAGCGCTCCGCGCAACACAACGTCGTTCATCATGCAGGCGCGCGGAGGCGCAGGTCCGCTTACCCCCGCAGGGGCTGGCGCAAGCGGAGTCGGCGCCGGCGCTTCCCCCTCCCCCGCGACAACTCCGCGCCTGCTCCCAACCCCCCTGGCGTCTTCTTCCCCCGCGCCGTGGGGAGTTGGTTTGTCGAGTAGCCAGGACGGAGCAGGGGAAGGCGACATTCGCGAGTTTAGAGTTAATCCGTACGGATCTATGAACGGAGTGATTAGACTAAGGACGCCTGACGGAGAGGACGACGACGACGGCGCCGGCGTCTTTGGCGGCGGCGGCGGCGGCGGTAGCGGCGGGAGTGTGGGCGGAGCTGGTGGTTTTTTTCCGCATGGGCGGCGGCGCGGACGGCGGGGACGACTCGGAAGGGAGCGCGGGAACGGTGGAGAAAGGGCCGTCGCGATCGACGGGCGGTTCCGACTCGGAGGAGCAGGAGAACACGTCCACGAGCGAGAGCCACGGAGGCGGCGCCGCGGACGGCGAGGGGAGCAGCGGCGGCGGGGGGAGCGTCGGAAATGGCGCGGCTGGCAGCGGCGGAAGGGGAGGGGGAGCGGGAGAGGGAGGTGAAGGGGGAAGTGGTCGGGAAACAGCTACTGTTGGGGGCGGTGCAGCAGTGGGCGGGGCGGGGGCGGCGGGAGGGGATGGGGTGGAGAGGAGGCTCGACGTGGGGCTGCAGCGGTTTCAGATGCTCTACACCGGGGATACCGCGGGAGCCAATGGGATGATGCCACATCATCCGGTGATGGGCATGGCAGCGCGCGGATCCAGCGGGGATTCGTTCCTGCGAGCGCGCATAGACGAGCAGGAGACGCAGCTAGCACAGCTGGAAGAGGAGAATCTGACGCTGAGAGAGGTAAGCAGGCAGACAGGCGGTGGTCAATGGTCATGCCACTCACTCAGCGATGTGAGAAATGAGGAAACGTCCACCCCGCACTCCCCTTTCCACTTCCTTCTCTTTCCGTGTGCTCTGTTCCTGTGCTCAGCCGCTGCCTCTGCTCGTTCTCATCTCCCTACACATGCCATCGTATAACGCCCCGTCCTGATTCTTCTCTTTCTTCTCTCCTCTCCTGTGTGCAGCGGCTGTACGTGGCAGAGCAGGAGGTGAAGGAGCTGCGGCGGCGCCTGGGCGAGGGGTCAGACGAGATGGTGGAGATGGGGGGCGACAACAGCGACGACGAGGCGTCTTGCGCGGCTGCACACCCTGCTGCTGCTTGATCCCTCCGCCTCTACCTCTTCCGCCGCCTCCGTGCGCCTCTCTGGTTCTCTCAAAGCCTGCAGTCTGCAGTCGCCATGGTTTCTGTCCCGGGTTCATGCGATGCGTTCTCGCGCTTACCGCAGTGGGCGTTGGAGTGCAGGAGTGGGAGTGGGAGTGGGAGTGGGTGTGGTCGTGGAAGTGGGTTTGCGAATGGGCGTGGGAGTAGGTTGGGTGTTGGTGGGGGAGTGGATGTCAGTGGGAGTGGCTGAATGGTAGCTCTAGCAGGGTTATGGGTACAGCAGAGCCTGGTGATGATCGTGGTGGTGGTGGTGGTCCTGGTGATGATGGTGTCAGTGGCGCTTAGGGACAAGCAGCTCACAGGCAGCAGTGGCATCAGCAGCCAATGCAGTTGCTGCACCTGAAGCTGGGCGTGGTGGCGGTGCTGGCAGCGTCACAAGGCGACACTTCATTGTGTGGGTGGCCTGGCACGCTCTCTAGCGCGTCTGCTCCTCCTGTTCATACTTACCTTCCGTAGCAGGATTCTCCTCCTGCCCTACCCTGCTCTTCTCTCTCTCTCTCTCTCTCTCTCTCTCTCTCTCTCTCTCTCTCTCTCTCTCTCTCTCTCTCTCTCTCTCTCTCTCTCTCTCTCTCTCTCTCTCTCTCTCTCTCTCTCTCTCTCTCTGCATTCTCCATTTCCATCCACACATGCGAGCTTGCCCCGCTCTGCTGCATGTATCCCAGCTCCCACCTCATGCTGCACTCCTGCTCCACACCACCACGCTGTATACCTGTGACCACAGGGCCTGCCTTCCTGACCCAGGGCTTGGGCCTCAGGCCCTCCAGCCACTGTGCGTGTGGCTGCTGTGGCTTCTGTGGCTGCCTTGGCTGCTGTGGCGGCTTGTGGTCGTGGCTGTCAGTGTCCAAGAGACAGGGGCAGCTGGTGAGCCCATCTAGCCTCTCCTCTCCACTCTTCATTCCCTCCATACCATCCTCTTCTTTTGCGGACTCTCGTCCTCTCTCCTCCGGTTTTCTCCCCACTGCATTCAGCCAGTGTGTGTGTGGTGTGTGGTTCTATCTTCTCATACCTACCGCATGTGCTCCACGGGTCATTGTCATGGCAATTCATGCCTCCGTGCCTCCGTGCTGTCATGCCGCCATGACGATTCGGCCCTGTGCAGGCAGCAGATGCACTCTCTCGGTGCACTCAGCCAGTGTGCTTTCCCTGTTCATCTGTGACTGACTCCTCGATCCAACTTTTACCGTACCTTGTGTTCCCGGATCCAGACCCGACTAGTTGCTGTTGGTTAGTTAGACTGTAGCTTTCTCTGCCATGCTTCTGTTGTATGGTACTGGTAGGAGTAGTTGGGTGAGTTTCCACATAGCATGATTGGTAATCGTGGTGCTGTTTACTGTTTTACGGTAGATTCTCTTTCATCAGCATTGGGCATTAGCAATTTGCACAAGCGGCTAGGCTACCAAACATGTAGGGTCGTGCATCTGTTCAGGAACAAATTCCATTCATTCCCACCCCATCTCAACCCAGCGGAAATAATGCATGTTTGTAGTGTTCTCTGTGGCATATAATTCAGAACCAGGCAGAAATATTCACTACTTCCAGATATAGTACAACCACACATTTTGTCAAGTTCAGCCCACCTCAGCCCAGCCCACCCACAGCCCACCAAATGTACAATGGAAAGCAACAAGACAGCCCACCGTGAAAGAAAAGAAAAGGCAAAACGTATATACGCAGATGTCGTGATAGCGTTAGAACCTAGGAAGCTAGGTGAGGGTGTTGGGAGTAGCGAGAGGAAAAAGATTCAATAAAGAGAAAGGGTACAATGATATAGGCAAGAGTTGGGGGTGCACCACCAACAGAAAGTATAACAAACTACAGCTACAGCTACAGGCACTTATAGATTTATATAAAATGTAAATCATGACACACCCCCTAAGTGCCTGCAGCGCATAGCAGTAGCAAGTCACACCCCCTGAAGGGGTACACCACGCAGGTGCAAGGCAGCAGGTGCAGTAGCGGTAGATGCAGGTGCGGAAGATGCACAGCCACGGTAAATGCAGCCATGGCGTGTGCAGGTGATGGCAGGTCGCCTGGAGAGCAGATGTGTGCGGCGGCAACGAGCGGCGGCACAAGCAGGGCTTCAACGGCAGCACCTGCCGCACCACCAGCAACAGGCAGCAGGAGCAATTACACGATGGGGGCAGATGGGGCAGCTGCAGGTTCCACGTTAGCACCAAGCAGCCATTGCAGATGCACGACGGGCAGGACAGAGGAGGAACAGCCGATAGAAAACAGGAGAGAGGAGGAGTAATGAGGAGGTGGCTGCGGCTGGTGCTGAAGCCATTGCTCCCACCACCCTCTCAACACCCCCCCCCCCCCCACAGCGACTGGCGCTGCAGGGAGAAAGAAGGGAGATGGGCAGCGGCTGGCGCTGCAGAGTTCCTCCCGCCACCCCTTCACCCTCCCCCCCACAGCAGGACGCACGGCCCAGCGGCGTAGGGCAGGAGCGGCGCGGGCACTGCTGCAGATCCCGCACGCCATCCACCCCCGCCGTCTCCCCAAACAGCAGTTTCCGCGGCAGGGCGTGCGACGGGCGCGCAGATGCGGCGGAGAATAGGGAGGGACGGTCGAGCAGGGGCAGGGCGCTGGCGGTTACTGCAGCCTTCTGGCCGCCACACCCTTCCCCCCTTCCTCCCCCTCACAGCGACCGACGCTGCCGACGTGCAGGGCCGCGGCAGGGGGGGAAAGGTTAGGGGGGCCGGACGAGGGTGCGACGAATCCGCATCGGTCGCAACCGAGGCCGCAAACGCTCTGGCGCAGCTCGCCGCCGAGACCGTTTCGACAGTCGCGACAGTTGCAACCGTCGTAACTACGACCGCGACGGGGGCCGTGACCAGTGCCTTGAGCGGGGGGATACGTGGTGGGCCCATGGGGAAAAAAAAAAAATAGGTCTTAGGACGACCTAGCGCCGGCAGCTGCTCACGCTGCCCCCCCTCCCGCTCTCCCTTCCGCGGCTTCAGTCGTGGGGGGGGGGGGGTGTCAAATGTTGTAGCCTATAGTGAGGTTTGTCTTAGGGGGTACAAAACTTAGGGTTAGCTATATGTACCCCAACCAACATCAATGCATCATCCATTCCTCATTCTGACATGGTATCAGTTAGGTTAGGATCCTGTGGGATCCCGTTCCTCCGTTCTCCGTTCGTATCTCCCGAGCCTGATCCTACCTCTCGTTCGTACCGGTTCCGTTGTTACCGCGCCTAGTGCCGAGCCTAGCGCCCTTCCCCCCGTCGCCTAGCGCCCTTTCCCCCCCGTCACGTCGCGCCCTTTTCCCCCGTTGCGTCGCGCCCGTTCCCCCCCGTCGAGTCGCGCCCTTTCCCCCCGTCGCGTCGCGCTCTTTCCCCCCGTCGCGTCGCGCCCTTTCCCACCGTCGCGTCGCGCCCTTTCCCCCCGTCACGTCGCCCTGCCCCGTCCCGTTGCCCCTGCCCCGTCCCGTCGCCCTGCCCCGTCCCGTCCCGTCGCCCCGTCCCGTCCCGTCGGCCCTGCCCCGTCCCGTCCCGTCGCCCCGTCCCGTCCCGTCGCCCCTGCCCCGTCCCGTCCCTGTCCCGTCCCGTCGCCCCGTCCCGTCTCCCTACCCCGTCGCGTCGCCCTCCCCCGTCGCGTCGCCCTGCCCCGTCGCATCGTGCCCGCCCTTTCCCCCGTCCCGTCGACCCTACGCCCTGGCCCGTCGCTCTAGCCCGCTCTTCCGCTGCGACTAAGTCCCACCTGAACCCTAATTTGCCTCTTACCTCCTGCTGTTACTCGCCTGCTCGTTCGCGTTAGTTTTCGCTATGGCGACTCCGCGAGTTCTTCGTTTCGACGCTGACGGCAGACCTCTTGACTTTTCCGTCTGGCTCCTTCGCGCTCGCCGTCTGTTAGAGAGTCAAGTCCAGGGGGGCGAGACCCTCTGGTCGCACGCTACTGGTGACCTCCCCGAGCCCCCCGAGCCTGCCGCTTTAGGTCCTGCCCCTGACGATGCTGCTACGGCTCGCTTTGCCCGTCAGCGCGCTGACAGGACGGCTTGGACGTCGCGTGACGCTGCGGCCTGCATCGCACTCAGCAGCCTCCTCCCTGAGTCAGAGGAGGTCCACTTCACTCAGGTTCGCACCGCTGCTGCGTACCTCACTGCGATTAAGGCCCGCTACTCTACTCCCGCTACTGTCTCTCTTGGCCGTCTTTTCCTCCCGTTCCTGTTTCCTGATCTCGCCTCGTTTGAGCGCTCTGCTGACTTGATCGCTCACCTCCGCTCGCTCGACGCTAGTTACCGCGCTGCTTGCACTGAGGCACAGCTTGCACTGCTTCCTCCCCCCATGGCGATTACTATTTATTTCATCGCCACTAGCCTCCCTGACCGCCTTGCCTCCGTACGTGACGCGCTCCTGCTGAAGCACCCTAGTGAGCTGACAGTTGAGGTCCTTGAGTCTGCGCTCAAGGACGTCGAGAGCAACCTTCGCTCGGTAGCTGCCGCCTCTGGTGCTGTGCCCCCCCCACTCTTCCACGGGTGCACAGTCCCGCAGTTACCCACCTTCACTGCCTCTCTTGCCACTGCCGCTACTGACGCGACTGCAGCTGCTGTTACGACTGCGTCGCGGTCCCGCGGCAAGGGGGGCAAGAAAGGTGGTTCTGGTGGAGGTGGAGGCGGAGGTAGCGGAGGTAGTGGGGGTGCTGTTGCGACTGGCGGTGGTGGGAGTGCAGCGTCTGGAGAGACCTCTCGTGCAGCGGCTGGTGACTCCACTGCGCCTGCTGGTGGTGGCGACACCCGAGCTCGTCAGTCGTCTCCTGTACTGCCGGCCCCGCTAGGTGGAGCAGCGGCGTGGTACCAGGCTCAGCGTCAGCAGCGGCTTCAGCAGCAGCAGCAGCCCCTCTCCTCCCAGCAGCCTCAGCAGCAGCAGCGTCAGCAGCTGGCTCCGGGGTCGGGGCTGCGTCAGCCCCAGCGTGGTGCTGCTTACCCTCCCTGCACCTATCA